CTATAACCGTACATGTTACACCCACTAAAAGATTAGATATATGATTTTTTCGATGTTCTTTTTTTCGTACTATTTTACTGTATGGTGGATGCATATAATAATAATATATATATTTTTCCTATCAATGTAGGACACACCAGTTGTACAGGCATGGATAAGTATTATTTAAATTACATGAATTTGATTTATAGTGAAATTACATGGTTGCTCTCCTCTCTGACATCAGTTAGTGAGCACATTCTGATAGTTAGTCGTTCAATGGAGCACATAAAGAAATATAGAAATATTGTCTTCGCATTAACAAAAAAAACCCAAGTATGTGTCGGATAAATTACAAATATTTGGGAAAAAATAAAGCTTGAAGTCAATTCCTCCATATAACTTTGTTGTGTGCGGCATCGTATCTTGTTTTATGTTGAAATTGGGTAATAATTTAAAATGAGTGATTAATTTTTATGATTTTGACATCATTTTTTTGCAAGTAATACCAGATGTGAGTTCAACTGAATGCATGTCATTTTTCAAACGTTATTTTTAGTACATTTTCCTCAAAAAGCTTCCTAGCATTCTTGTTTTCTTTTCCAGGTGCAATGGGCACTGAAGAAGAAGCAAACGAAGCACGAGATCCAGCGGATGGACACCCTATTAGCATATGTAGACGACCAGTAGGCACCACATCAACCCGATCGGAAGAGCTTTTTTCCAATGGGAAAACCATTGGGTTTTTTACTTCCGGCTGGTTTTGTCTTAGGGCCCTCACAACTCCAATAGGGGGAGAGTGAGCTGTAGCGGTAGATAATTCCTTAGAATTATTTGCCACAGCACTCATCACTGAACATTGGATGCTGCTCCTCACTGTTTAAGTCAAATTGTTTAGCTGAAGGCTTCCTGTCAAGTACCCACGGCGTTTGGTGCTCCGTCGTGTTACGTTCGTGCACGATCCCTGGCCAGTTAAGCAATCATCTCGCACTGTGATTTGGTCCCGAAATATAACTATTCATATGGACGGTCAATTCTGGTGTTTTGCTTTGCCTTTGGTCTACGCGGAATGAAAACTATAGAAGTTATGTGTATTAGATCTTGCGTTAGCATACTTTGTAATATCCGTGAACGTCAATACCATCAGCCTATAAACTGTTCTACAGATTACAGCGATTCACATTCGTGACCATTGCCATATCTGCTGATCAGCATGTGCCACCCTCCCTCCTTTTATGATGTTAAGCTCTGAGATTTTTTTTGCAATAACTGTATTTGCATCATTGAATTGCTTTGAGGTTGTCCAAATCACACAGTATATTGCACGCTAATAGCTTTCGTGACAAGTACCTCCCATTAGGTCACCAGATACATCGATACCTGGGGACATTCTTAGCAGTATCACCGTTATACATACACATATGTATATAAGTATTTGTTATAAATGACTAGGAAAATTTATTAAGCATAGAAGTAGTTAATATTAAAGCAACTAACTTATAGTCTATTTAGTAGAGTTAAATGGGTATTGGAACAGTTAGTGATGAAATTATGTAGAATGATCCTGAAGAAAAGGGCTGGTTAACAGAACTTGTTACCCCAAACTTTCATGACCGATTTTCATATGGTATGCGTTAGACATTGCGAAGTAACCCACGATGTTGTTACTGAATGCCCATCATCTATGCGTTGTGTAATGTAGTCAAAATATTCTTAGTGGCAAGTAATGCACGACCTTCTACTTAAGAAACCGTATTGGGATGGGGAATCTAGGTCATTTGACAACAAGTACAGAATGATTTGAGTTTTTACTATCTTTTCCACTACACGTGAAACTACAGACGCGATGATATAGGGCGGTAGTTGTTGATATCAGCTATATGCCCGTATTAATGGATATGTGCAATATAAGACTTCTTCCAGCAAGTAGGGCATGTCCCATAGCTTAGTGGATTTGCGTATAATTTGAGTAGGATTAAACTCATGTCATTACCACCGTTTTTCAGCAGAATGGAAGATATACCATCTGAACCAATAGTATTACTAAGCTTAAGACTCGCGAGATTCTTCTGTTTTACGTGGGAAATCCACGACCTATCGTCCTCCGAGGTGTATAGTCTGGCAAAGTGCTTGCTAACCAGTTCACATATCACCCCGGTATTCTCGTTCGCACCATCATCTAAGCATATTATTTTGGATAGGCTGTTTTGGAGTTTGTTAACCTACTTTTGAAAGGTTTGGTTATTTCTCCCGGGTTAGGCTGTGGCTGAATGGCCCTCATTTCCTTGTTTATAAGGCTTATATTTTTTAACTCTTGAGTTCTAGGGAGAAGGGACGTAATAGCAATTATTGATGATAAGTTATGAGTGCTTTCGTAGACTTCTCCTTAACAGTGTCGGATTATAATCGCTTTGGGAGAATTTGGAGCTAAGAATCTTCCCAAGTGCAATGATGTTAGGAATTGAGGTTATATTATGACAAATATTGTTAAGAACTGCCTCTAAGGGCTCATTCAAAAGGGTACCAGTCTCAATTAGAGCACTTAATTAGGTGCTGATACAAGTTCCAGTTAGAATTTGCGTATAATCTTACAGGTGTCTGGTTAGCTTTATCTCTGCGCCCTGTTTCAGGAAAGATGTTAAAAGAACACATTACTATCTTATGGTCACTACCTGGAGATTTACGTGCCAAATACACTATAGATGGTGTTATATTGTTTGTGAAAATAAAGTGTAGGATATTTGGGGATCTCGTGGGTGCATTTATATGTCGTGTCTATCCTCCTGTGACGATGAAATTCAGGAGATTTTCATACTTTTGAGGTCCTCAGAGTGAAGGCTATGATACTTCTGACATTTATTTTATTTATTTTTTATTTTGATTTACAGCTTGATTCCACACCGTATTTTCAGTACAAGTGTGGAATTTTCAGCATGGATATCGGGAGCCCAAATTCAGGCCGACCATAGATATCGGGTGTGCGCCGGCAGGGGATCGAACCCCGGACCATGTGCATGGTCGGCGAGAGTCCTAACCACTGCGCCACCGACGCACAAATCACCTCCAATAATTTTAAAACTGAAGGGAGGATTGGCTTTTATATCAAAAATGTTACTGAGCATATTATCATACTCCCTGCTGATGAAGGGGGTTGGTGCACACAGCCCACAAGCATAGGTTTATTTCTGAGAACTTTTATTTCGACTCAGATGGAGTCATTGAGTTGTGACAGAATTGGGTTACTGAACTAGGTTGTGCACATGGATTGTTCACAGTAAATTAGTATTCCACCCCCATGGCTTGTTTGTCTGTCCCCTCGAAAAAGGCTGTATTTATCAATCCTTAGGCTGTCGTCGGAGATTTCACTTGTGCACCAGGCTTCAGTGATCATAATCAGTGACGGTCTGCATATAGTAGCTAAAGTAATTAGTGTTAAGTGTTTGTGTACATGTTGTTGTTGCTTTCTTGGATTCGTATCTAAATTGTGGCATGTTCCCTTTACTCAAATGTTACTATTAGATATTGCGACAAATAGCGAGAGGCGCACACATCAAAATAACACCACGGACAACATCTGATGCTGCACTGCGGGGAATACAAGAGTTTACCAGAAGGTTGGATGGTTTATCACTAAGTAAACTGCAGGCAACATTACGAATACGACGTACCCCTGTGAATCGGTCACTTTTGTGAAAATGTTGGTATTACCACATTGTTTCTTTATATATTCACAATAAAAATATCTACGCCCAAATTGTTGTTACGCTTCATCTCTATTCCAACGCCTGAGTGAAAGTAAACACAGACTTCGGTTGATTGTTTCGTGATGAAAGTATCTTGGAAGTAAATTAGAAATTAGATTAATCTATATCTCATTTACTGCGTTTTATCAGCCGAATGTTAGACGTCCTCAGCATATCCTGAATAACCGTGACTAAAAGGATGCATCATTTATACTGTCCCAACGCTTGAAGAGTGCTATGAACAGCTTGCCATCTTAGCCTAGTATACGCGAAGTAGGTGGATGACTGCAGGTTTACCATAATCCTTATATATCAACTTAGTAACTGTGAAATTCAGACCAAAAATAAGCTAATTGTAGCATCCAGTGACAGAAACTGACCTCGACACTTTAAAACATGCAAAATAACATGTAAATTTTAATGACAAACGAATTCACGAAAACATATAACCCTCGACGCAGGAACCCATCACGACGTCGAGTCTGGATATATTATCTTTCTAAAATACGTCGCTCTCCTTTTTTCGAAGCCAGTGCTTATGATACCGTTTTCATGGACTTCAGAAAGGCCTTCGACGAAGTACCTCACTGTAGGCTGTCCGTGAAATTGTAAATTTTGAGGACCAAGCGAGTCTTACTAAAGCGGACTGGAGAATCCCTCATGGGCAAGGGTAAAGTGTAAGTGTCAAACCAATACTTTACCACAGGTCGGAGGCACATAGCGGAGTGCCAAAAGGCAACGTACTCTGGCCCCTCTTATTTATCTTGCAAATCAATGAGTTACCTATGCACGCTGAATCCCCTATGGTCCATTACGCCGATGAACTGAAAATTTCGAGAGGGCTAAAGGGCGATAACGATATGGCAACATTGTAATGGGATCTCAACAAGTTATTATAGTGGTCCGAAAATGGATACTGACAATCAACGTAGAGAAATGCACAACCATGCTCAAGCGTCAACTTATAGGGACGTGAGGGGACACTTCCACCAGTTGTCAGCTGACTCACTTAGGCAATAGATAGGCAACCAAAGACACTCAAGGATTAAAGATTAGCACATGTTTCAAGCGTTACATTTCTAGTCAAAAATGTCTGTCTGAAAGTCTGAAGTACAGGAGAGTTTAGAGGCTGACGCTACAACAGCACACGTCTCTGTTTCCCCTCAAGCACACGGATTAAGAGAAGAGTAGTTCTGATTTCTACACAGACTATGAAATTTAAAAATCAAAGGTAATCCAGGTCTCTATTTGAACTAAACGAAGTTTGTAGGTAATAACTTTCCCCGCGCTGCTAGACTATTGCGCTACGAATAAGCACGGTGGGGTAAGTTTGCTCCTTTTCATACAACTAGGTAGGCATATGCGCTTTTTGAGTTAATATTACTGCTACAGACGTCCTATAATTTTGGTATGATGGTAACTCCTGAGTTGGGGAAAATGGGGTCTTAATTCTGTATATCTGGAGGAAAACATTAAGTAAAATTGTAGGGGATCGTTTGCAAATAGTCTCGAAAATTCACCGGAAGTGACACATTGTACTCCAAAATATCCCTCTTAATTCTGAGAGAGGTTCACTCCACCTATGTGGACGATAAGTCTCTGTTACAGAATTTCACATGAAATATTGGTGTAACTTTGGGGCATTTCAAAAAAATTCAGGAATAATTTCCGGATAATTTAAGCAAACCTTGGGGGAGGGGAAGGGATACAGTGTTTTATTATGATTAGCACCCAAATTTTTAACTTATTTGGGGTTAATAGTATTGTTATAGTATTAACGCTTATAAACTCCTGCGGACTACCTACAGCTTTCGGAAAGCTTGTCGAAAATGTGGTTAAGTACATCTCGCAGTCAGCACCCCAAAGTACCATGAAGCTTTTTAGAACATTTTTACGTCTGACTGATGTTTTGAAGTGTACATCCTATTTGGATAGGCAAGTAATGCTTCACAGGAGTTAATGTTGTAGAGTCCGGTGAAGTACAAAGCTCTTTGGTACTATCATGATTAAGCTTAGGATCAGATAGTTTCCACTCGAATCCGCTCGCCCATGCGTTACAGTCTACCTGCCATTTAATGGAAAACCTGTAGAATTTCAGTAGTTTCCATAGATGTGTAAGGCCAGTGAAGAATGCTTTCGACAAGCAATCTGTCTAAGGCCTCCTGGAAATAGTCCAGTTGTTTGTTTGCTTAGTTAGCAAGCCAACAGGACGCTTCCATTTGTATCCTAGCTGTTTTGAGCACGCGTTATGTTCACCTAAACTTACGTGGAGTTAGGTCACACAAACTTTGCTATTTATTAAGCTAAAGATAGAAATAGTTTAATAGTATAAAGTTAACTGAAGTTTTATAAACCGTCAAGGGGCTTCAAGAAGATAGATTCATTTAGATGGAATTCGTTGCCTTTCAGAAACCTGGATGGATAGTTTAAAGGTGTAATATCGTTTCTTTATTGAACTGCTGCAAATATTAACTTTAAATGATGACTTGTCTGCTAACCTGAAGGATACTGTCAAGTTCACGATCCTCCTATAATAATTGTACATAATTGGAATGCAATCGTTTGATTCCTTGAAAGATATGCTAAGATACATTGAAAATATACAAAGATAATTTCAGCTGAAGTTGGATTAGAGTGAAAAATATTACTGGTGTCCAGACAAAAAAACATGTTTCAGTCTATAATATTATCAACTGGTTGCTGAGCCCACCTATTAATATTAGACTCTCAGTTCACCACTGCCAACTGTTAGGTGTTCCTGAAGGATTTGTCTACAGTAATCCCTAGTTTAAAGATGAAACGAGATGGTTTTGTGTGTTAACTCATTTGTATTACTAATAACGATTTTGGGCTGATGTTATCAATAGTTCTTAGCATCCTGTGGGCACCAGTCAGACAGTTGTCACCTCCCTATGTGGCTGACTCAAATTAACAGTCAAAGATTTAATCGATTGATGACAGGCTTGGGGCAAAGTTAAACTTTGAGCATCACTAACTACCAATCAGCGGATGAACTCGAACGCACCAATCAGGTGAAGGAGGCATTTTTGTGTATGGAATACATATATTTATAAAATAATGTATAAAAGCTTTGGAAAAGTGTCACAGAGGACACCTTTCTCCCAAATGTGATAAAAATAGCTCTCAGTTTTAGGTTGGAGTATCAACAGAGTATAATTCCATTGTGGGTAAAATTTATTTTGATTAAGTCTCATAATGTTATACAGTAACATTAACTGAGCAATAAATTGTGCTCGAAATGGCATCAGTAAGTATTACTGTATAACCCTATGAAACTTTATCAAAATAAATTTTACCCACATTGGAATTATATTCTACCACAGTGCACAAGTTCTGTTCTTATATCAACATAGTAATTTAACCACATTCTATGCATGTAATTATTTGGGTCTTCTTACCCTATCAGTAACCCGAATCTTTGCTGAACCTAACCCTAACGTGAAAATATCCCTAATCTAACCCGAACAAATCCTAATGTTGCCCTCATTAGGTTACCTTAACCCTAACTTGTCCCTGGCTTAGACCGTAACTTAATCTTTCCCAAACCTAAGCTGAAACTTGCCAGATATCCCATTTAATAGCATAACACTTCGATGAGTATGTTTTACTGATGATGATATTATTTGCCAGGTTTCACTAACTTGCTCAGTGAGTGTTTCAAGGTCATTGGTGCGGTCGCACACCGTTGGCAGTTAGTGGTGCTTAAAGTTTAACTTGGCCATGTTTGGATTTAATCATTTCTAGCTTTCTTCTGACTCAATCGTATGTGGTCTAACACTGAGATGACGCAGGGGATGGTTTGGCATACGTAACAGGTATCTTAGCCATCTCAATCGATTTATTTTCACTATTGTCTTCCACCTCTTACCTAACACCATAGGCGTAACCCCATTATTACTGGCCTTATTAATGACCCTGATACCTAAGGTAAAACTCAGACACTATTGAACAATGACGACTAGACACTTCATATCTCCCACTCTCAGCGGCTGTCTCATAGTCGTAAGGGACTAAGGGGCGCATTGCTGAGTAGCACACGTGTCCTTGAATTGATACCACGTTTAGTCTAAAAATGACGTATGTCGTCAAATGCCGTGCTGAGATATCACTAGTAATTAGGACTTATTCAACTTCCCAAGTAGATGAAGTCATTAAATGATTCTGTCCTACCTCCCCACCCGCCGTTATCCTATGTTGACTTTTGTAGAAAGTATTGGTGATGCTAATATACTCTATTTCTTTATACAGCATTATTCGACCAACAGTCTACCTGTCATGCTTTGTGTTTCTTTTCAGACTTACCAACATATTCCCCTTTATACTATCGAAATACAAAATACATTCCATTCAGCGTTTGATATTCAAAATAAGTACACTCAGTCGTCTGAATATGAAAATGAAAAAATATGTTTTCTCATTTGCTGCTTCTGAATTTGTCAATTTTCGTCTAATCGAGTTTAAGTCGTTAGCTCAAATTGGTCAGCATAATTATTCTATGAGTGAATCTAAGCAAGATTGGATAAAACCATATGTGATAATAGAAATGGAAAATGATGAAGCTGTCCAGTCAATAATTGAACGTAGTGTTTTAATCAAAGCTGCTTTCCACTTGTGGTGTGAAGCAACATCTCTGCCAGAGTTAATTAAACAGGTTAGTTTATTTGAAAAAAGAGTTAGAAAAGTTAATAGGTGTAAAATTTGGGCACTGTTGTAGTAAGTAATTCCATATTAGTATATTTATTAGATATATTAGACACACAGTGAAACAGTATTATTATTTACTGGATGACAAGGTTTCGAACACAATTCATTACTGTTCATAATCATATCAGTTGTAATCACACGACTTTGAAACTTGAGTTTTATAGTTATCTTTGTCCTCTCCTATTTGTCGTCATTGGGGTAGTAGAATTTTCCAGATGTCTGGTTGGACAGGTGTTGAATCATTCTTATTACACGTGTTTGCAGTTGATTCGATAAACAAAGCTTCTGTTATCTATCTCTCCCTCCATTCATCCTGTCACATTAGATTTTAAGACGGTCATCTTATCCCGTCCTATTGTATGGTTGGTTGTGTGTAATTGCATATAGTGTGTGCTATAGCTGAACTATTCTCTAGATTTCTTATCTTATTCGGGTCAACTGATCTAGATTTTGCTAGATTTTTATGCTGGGCTAGTCTGACTGCACCTGTTCTACTAGTTTGACCTATGTATTTCACCTGAAAATCATTGCAGGCAGGGTATTAGATAAACTAAATTGTTTTGTTTCAAAGGCTCCACAGGATCCTTTAACCTACAAAGCTTGTTTCTAATTGAGTTTGTGGGTTTGAATGTCAGCCACTTTTATTCCTGTCTGCATTCTTAAGAATTCTGCGTGAGGTTTCCGAGGTTCCTTCCTTGTATGGAAGTACTACTGATGATTTAGTTTTCTTTATTGTTGGTGTTGTCATTATCCTGCGCATGTTTGACATGCATGTCGTTATTAATATTACCATTACTATTATTATTATTATTACTATTATTATCACTATCGCTACTATCATTGTTTATTTAATTTTACTTTTACATTTCCCTACATACTTCCTGACTAATTTATCAGGGTAATTATTAAGTTTCAAAGCTTCTACTCTTATATGCCTCACTTCCTGTCTTAGATTTTCCTTGGTACTACTTAGTTTTTGTTAACACCTGTGTTTAACTTCCAGTCTTCTTTCCTTCTAACGCTACAATCTAACATTGGAAGCTCACCTTCCTGACTTTCCAATTCACTTATGAATTGGGGGTGGGGAAAGTCATCCCCCTGCAGCGCAGGTTTTAATATAATATGAACTCATTTAAATTCTCCATGAGTGATGTAATTGTATCTCCTGGCAACTACTGTCGTGACTAGTTGTTAACTTACGTCTCTACTGATCATTTTTATTGACTTGGAATTCGAACTTTCTTGTCATGTGATTTACTTTTTATTAGCTGATAAATTTGGTCTATAATAATGTGTTGGTTGATTGCTAATTCACTTGAGTACCAGGCTTCTCTGGTATTTTTGGTGTTTCCTCCTCTACATTATCCTAATCAAATTTGTGTCCATAATTATTCACATGTATTGATATCAAAAAATATATATCATGCCTTTTTTTACAGCCAATTCGTGTTCTTGGATTCGGATTCGAAATGGGGCCACCCACTTTGACAGATTTAATGATTTTAATATGGTTAGCTTTTCCTAAATCCAGCTTGTTCCGGGTAAAAGTATATGGGGAACGATTTCGAGGCAAAGCGCCAATAATCTCCAGATATTTGTTCTTACTATCCTGAGGACCCAAACCAGGGAAGTCCACAAATCCTTACCTGGCTAACTCAAACTAACTGTTAGAGATTTCATGGACTGATACTATGTTTTCCTTTGACAACCACTGGCTCTTTTCCAATCTGATCCTATGTCAGCTGACAGTGCTCGTCGATGAAGGCATGTGTAACACATATCCTAACTAACTGAATCTGTGTAAGTTCACAACCTCGTCTATTGATTGGAAAAGAGCCAGCGTGGTCAAATGAACACATGGCATCAGTCAATGAAATCCACAACTGTTAGTTTAAGCCGGTCAGGTAGGGAGGTGTAGACTGGCTTTCTGATTGGGATCATCGGGATGGTAAGAAGCAATGATGGCTGGAGACAATAGGTAATATAGCTCAAAATCGTTGTCAATGGCTAGTGCAGATGCATCCATTCTTTGTGACTTATAATATCCAATAAAACTCTTTTGTTCTTCGATATTACTATTCTTTTTGCCTCATAAATCTGTTTATTATCTCTCTCTTTTGAATCTCTGTTTACGTACTTCTCATGCCTTGTGTGGTACACGGAGGAAGTGTGGCAACTCGAGCTGCTGCACATCTGTACAAAGTTTTTAGTTGAAACCAGTCAGTCGGTCAGTATCTTTCCCGATAGGTTTTGGTATCCAAGTCGATATTTTAGAATTATTCCTTATTTATGAGGTATGATGAACTTTCTTATGGTTTTGTGAAGATTGTTTCTTGCTGGCAGTTCGATTCGAGTGTAGACATTTTCTGATGAAGCGGTTAGACTACCCATCTTTCTTGAAGACATTTAATAGGTATTCCTCCTCTGTCCTTCTCAGGACTGGAGTGGCGCAGTGTGTGTTTCAACTGCTTTGGATAACGTCCGTACACAGTTTATTTTGTGCGATTTTGTAGTTGAGTATTCGGTCTGTAAATTGATTGCCTTTATACTTTGCCTATATATAAGCTCCCTAATAATCCATTTTCGTATGATTTCTCCAGGTTGGTGATCTTCCTGATGAATTGGTCGACCCTTATCTAAACAGTTCTAGTTCATTTAAAATTGTCTTAAGTACCGCGCATAAAAAGTTGAAACAAGAAGAAAAGGTACCTATTATTGAAGCTGTTATTAATGCACATAAAAGTATCACTTCACCAGTATCTTTATCTTCACCAGATGTGAGTATTTCGTAAGTTTTTACAACATCATTTTCTAAATGTTTTGTATATTATTATTATTATTTCAAATGTGTCTTTGATAAACTTTATATGATTAAGGTTAATTATCATTCCGTGTCTTTAAATTGTATGTATATTGCCAGAAAATTACTCATCGAACTTCTTCAGAGCATTGATTTTATTGTCTTGTGCTTGGAGTTCTGCTCAAGAGTGGGTTCCATCAAGTCGGGTGTGGTGGGGATAGGTACTCGCGGATGACATTGGCTGGTGCTATATGTATCCTGAATTGGCGTACGTTAGAAATTATAAGCCATTGGTTCTCGTCCTAATGTCTGTATGCTGAACAGGCTTGCCTCTTTACTTAAAGGCCCGGTGGAGTCGTGGGTACTTGCTGGTGAAGTGTTCCAGATTAAGACGAAATAGCTTTCCAGTAGTTCTCTCTAGTTTTCACTAGTTCTTTAACTGACAAACACATTGTCTGGCTGAATTCTAAACAAAATGAGTCCCACAGGTCAAGGTGATGTCCCTCTGTGTTTTACATCATTTCTTTAAATGTGTTACCTATAGACTATCTGTTTACAGTGGGTTATTAGTATTAGGCAAGAATAATCTGAAAATTTGTTCTGTAGAGAAGTAAGATTCCAAACGCGCAGTATAGGTGTTTTTACACAAGCGAGAATTTTTGATATGCTAAACTAGCGATGGGCTCAGCAATTGCTCAGCAGTCCGCTCCGTCCTCCTTTATAGCTGTCAGTGAGACCTGACCATTGAAAATGGAAGACATGAAAAGGTTAGCTAGCTGTTTTTGACCATAGGTGTCTGTGTTCTATCTCCCGTGTTAAGTGGTATAAAAAGGTGAGCGATATTGAGGTTAGGCGTCGGTGGAGCGCTAGGTAAGAAGGGGAATTTAATCGACGAGGTTGTGAAGTTATGTCGATTGAGTGAGATGGTTGGAACATGTTTTATGCATGCATGTCTAGCCATCGCCTTCCTCGACAGGCAACGTCAGCTAGCTAGTGGTGGTCAGACGAGAACATAACATCAGTCAATGAAATCCAGAGCCACCAAGCCATGTAGAGAGGTGCAGTCTTCCTGGTTTGGGTCCTCGTGATAGTGAGAACCAAACCAGTGGCTGGAGACAATTGATGATATGGCGCAAAATCGTTGCCAATGGCTGGTGCAGATGCATCCACTCCTTGTGAATTATAGTATCCAATAAAATTTTATTATTCTTCCATAGTGTCATACGTTTTGCGTTATATTTCTGTTTATTATCTCTCTCTTTTGAATCTTTCTCTACTCTCTTCTCATGCCTGGTGTGATACATGGGGGGGGGGGTAGTGACTCTAACTGCTGCATACCTGTGCAAAATTCTACTTTGAAACCAGCAGTTAGTTAGTCAGTGAGGGACTTATGTAGACTTAATGGGAGGTACGTTACATCAAAACGGACTATGTATGAAAAATAAGTAGAATAATTGAGAATGAACAGCATAATAAAAACAAGCAAGTCTACTAATCATAGGAGAATTTAGAGAGTTTTCATTACTACTTCATGTTACTTTAAGAAAGAGAGGAATGGAGGAAATTTGCAGTAGCTATATGCGCCACTGATTATCATTTTCAGCCATAGCTGACAGTGTTACGAGAGCGTATCTTGAATCCATCTGCATATTTGTTAGATGATAGTGCTCTTAGCTAGTTCACCAGCTGCTAGAGTTCCTTTTTTGCCTATTCTTTCTTGTCAGTCATTTCATTTTAAGTATCGAACAAAAACATCTGTTGACGAACGTCGGCAGCCTGTTGGAAATCCTTTCAGTGAAGTGTGTCCCAAGTCTCTAAATGAATATAGATGCAGCACTGACTGACTTGACATTATTGTTGAACATGTAGATCTTGTTCCCTATGTTAAACGAGTGCTGTAAATCCCCACATTGATTTCAGCCATATCTTCTGATTAGAACAAAAACAACAACCAGCATCAATCACCATCAACGGGAGAATAGAGGTTACTTCCTTCACTTACCTGCTAGGAATTGTTTCAACCACAAGTGGTGGGACGGATGAAGACATCAAAGCTGGCCAGAATTGGAAAGGTGAGATACACCTTCATCAACCTTAAACAAGTTTGAAAATCTTCTATACGGGTCAGAAACTTGCACGGCATGTCACAAAAAGTATTCCTAACAATCCACGGACGTTTGTCACCAGCTACCTTCTCTGGTTCCATACCGAAGATCAAATGGCCAACTGGCAAGTCAGGGAAAATCAGTAACAAGAGACTCTGGCTGGCAACAAACCAACGAACAGCCAATTGCTCAACAAATATGTAGGAGAAAATGGATATGGATGGATCAGGCGTACGTTGAAAAAGCCGCCGAACGACATCGCTCACGATGCGGGCCATCGCTCGAGTGGAATCCCGATGGGAAGCGACGAGTGGGTGGTCAGTGCTAGGGTGACATGGAGGAGGTCATGTGGCAAGGAGGAGGAGGAGATGAGAGATTATGGGCAATAATAATGTATAGCTTTATTTAAAATTTACCGTTAATCTCAAAGTATTCACCTCGATGGCTTCTTTTTCTACATGCCTTGTTCTATGTCGGACTAAACAACTAGATGTGTTTTGAATTCTAATCAATGTTGATCTTCTCACTTAGACTCAAATGTTATCATTTCAGAAGTTGTAGAGTTATCTTCTTGACTGAGTAAGTCTTAAATACCGCCCTTTTTGAAGTTCTAATACTTGAATATCAGTAGGAATGCGTTGAGTTCTAAATAAGACAGCGATCATCTCTGCCCCCCATATGTGATGAATTCAGCTTTAAAAGAATACAGTAAGTCTCATGCAAAAAGAAAGAAGAAAAAAGGAATGGAGAAAGTAAAGTCCCCTAAGAGGCACCACCGGCTTTTGTAAGCAAAGAAGTGAAGAGCTTTCAGTTAAGAAGAGTGCGTATTGCTTCCTGCTTGAAAAGTAGGCGGACAACCACCTTGTGACCTAAGGCGCATTGCGTGCTGAGGCAACTTGCTTATGATTAGTTCTTTAGGAATAGAATCAAAAGTATCCGTGTAATCTAAAAAAGGTACATTGAACAAACTTAACTGTGCGTCGGTGGCACAGTGGTTAGGACTCTCTCCGACCATGCACATGGTCCGGGGTTCGATCCCCTGCCGACGAGGCACTCCTTTGCCTCGCTAAGCCAGTAATAAGACTGGTAAAGAGAGAAGGTTGGGCACGAGGTTAGTAACTCCATCCTGTAAAAATAAACACCACTGCTACTGAAACTTCAAGCCGCAAGCTTGAAACTGCCCTCCCTATGTTTCACTGGGAACGTAAAGGAATTAAAACAAAAAAAAACAGTGACAGCATCTAGGCTACACTTCATTTATAAAGAAATTGCTTAAGGGTCACTGAAAGATTTTAGGGAGAGATAAAAAACAAAACAAAGTCTTTCCGATTCTCCCTCCTACTCTTACTTCACTCCTTCTTTGATTCCTCTCTTTTCTTATAGCATCAAATCAATATTCTTTTGGAGTATACACCTAAAAATCTTGGAAAGAATACAATCACCTCTGGGGGTCGCTTATGTCGACTTTTGTATGGTCGATTAATTGGCAGTAGTATACGAAAGAATATGATGAATAATTTTCGTCTGTCAGAAAGAGCTCACCTGGGGAATACAACTATGGATGTCCGATTAGCTGCAATAATGGCTAATGTTGGTCTGTGTCAAAAATCTTCACTAGTATGGGATCCATTTATTGGTACTGGAAGTACTGTACTAGCTGCATCTGTATGGGGTGCTTTAGGCGCTGGTTCGGATATATGTTATGCCCTGCTTCATGGAATGGGTGCGTCGCCGAAAGCTGGTCAAGTGAGTTGTTTTTTCCTTATGGATATAAAGTGTAATGACTTTTAAATGACAGTGGGGATTTTAAAGGTGAAAATATAATGGCAATTGTCAATCGTAGTGTAACCATTTCTCGTTTTTATATTAACTCTCTTCGTTAAGTATCACTCCTTTCACATTTGTGTTGATCACTGACTGTGATTGTTGTTAACAAGCACATCACAACTGGATTGGTAAAACTGTTTATATTGAAGCAAAAAGATGAGGGTCTGATTGACAAGTAAACATTTCCTAGCTCAGTTGTCCGGCATTCGATAGATATCCTTCTCATATTAACTCCAACTGTATATACAAATTTACATGTATCTGCGAGAGCAGTTACATTGAAAGAAAAGAAAGAAGGGCATATCTCCGATTTTATGAACATATATTCTAAAAAGCCTATGTCTAAAGGGAACAAATGCTTTAAACAGTGCCATCATGAGGTGGACATCGCAAGATCGTTCAACATTATCAGTAGGCAAAACAGGTTAATTCTCCTTAAGTTTGCCGAAGCAATCTCCATCAAGCGTCTGAAACTTGGTTTATGCGTTCAGAAAGAAGCGGTTATCAGTTTTTCCTTGCCCTGGTAACTGGATGTTTTCATCCTCTCCTTCATGTGATTACGTAACGCCGAAAGATTCCATTATGTGTGATTATTATTGTTTGGGATAAAGTGATTATTATTATTATTATTATTAGCATTGTATGCATATATTGATTTTTTGTTTAAAAATGAACTCTGTGCAAGTATGTCAAAATTTAAGTATTGGTTTGTAGGGATTTGATTGATTGGCTACAAGATTTCATCATGAGCTGACATTGGTTAGAGAGAACCATTGGAAAACCAGCTGGGAGTACTGAACAGCTGTTTCCTCCTAGTTTGGGACACTTCAGCAGTACACACCCACTGCCAAGGTTCGAACCCAGGACCTTGTGGTTACAAGGCGAGCTAGCTCGTAGACCATTAAGCCACTGGGACCCGATCCAATGGCCAGTCAGTCAGACCATGAATTCTAACTTCTGCCAAATCGTTTCTGTAGATATACTTAATAATGAATGTCTTTGGGCTGTAAGCAGCTGATGAGAAGCTAACGAAATAAGCAATGATGGTATCATTTTATTCTGCAAAAACTGTCTCTCCTATTGTGGATACAGAAGGCAAGACACGGAAGCCAAGGTATATTTTCAGGTGATCATTCAGCGTGTGATTTTGGCTAACAATAAACAATATGAAATAGAATGTTCAAATGTACACATACAGTATTCTGTTGCTAACGCAGTATTGAACTGTGAGAATAGTATATGTGAGAATAATATTCCATTGGAACACATTGTCTGTATCACACCAATGTGACACCACGCTAAATTTCATCGCAGTAATTCCACTGGAAACATTCTTTGACTGACATAAAACTAATGACTGAGAATATGAGTCACTTGACGTGGTGTGTTTTCACCACAATATATAGACAGACTATTTAGGATGAATTCTGGATGACGGATAACGGAACCTCACTCACTGTTAAACTGTCCTGTTAGACAGAAGAGTCCATTTGATGAACTACAACAGATCCTCTACATCATCTGGGTGTAATTAAGTGTGACTTCACAGGCTCACCGGTGTTTGTTTCTACTGAAAGGAAGCTGTTTTGGTGACTCGGCGACTAAATCTCAGCACGGATCCAAAAAGCTCGAGCTGCTTTCGCTAACTTACGCCATTTCTGGCGTAGGCGTGACATCCGGCTATCAACCAAGGGACGTGTGTACTGCTCAGCAGTTCGCTCCATCCTTCTCTATGGCTCTGAAACATGGCCAATACGAGTTGAAGACATGAAAAGGTTGACTGTTTTTGATCATAGATGTCTACGATCTCTTTCTCACGTTAGGTGGCATAATAAGGTAAGTAATGTTGACGTTAGGCGTAGAGTGTTGGGCAAAGAGGGAAAATCAATCGACGAGGCTATAAAGTTACATAGATTGAGATGGCTAGGTCACATGCTGCGCATGCCTAACCATCGCCTCCCCCGACAGGCATTACTAGCTGATATAGGTGCAGGTTGGAAAAGAGTAAGTGGTGGCCAAACAAAAACATGGCCTCATCAATCCATGAAATCCTTGACAGTTAAACTGAGTCAGGTAGGGAGATGCAGACTTCCGGGTTGGGGCCTGCCCTCGGGACTCTAAGAATCAATGGCTGGAGACAATAGGTGACATGGCTCAAAATCGTTGTCAATGGCTTACGCAGATGTATTCAGTCTTTGTAATCTTTCATATTCCTTTCTACCATTACTCATTCTGTTTCACTCCTATACTTGTCAAAACTCTATTGATTCTCTTCACTCATTTTCTTGTCTACCTTTGTGTGCTATTTGGAACGTGGCAACTCGAACTGCTGCACTTCGGTGCCAAGTTCTATGTTGAATCCAGACAGACAGTTTTGGTGACTCTGTCTTCCTCTTGAATCGGTCGTTGAGAATTGTTTCATCATCCTTCCTAAACGTACGCTCCTCTTCGTCAGTAATTGAAATCGATTTTATACACAAGACAACACATATTATTACTTAAGTAAACAAGCCACTCTTTCTTAGGCGCACTCTTATGCGCAACACACCTCACAGTTGAGCTCAGTTTTTTCGAAAATGCGGATCGACTAAAATCCTCTAGTATTATTTTTTGGACCTTCTAGTCTGAAATTTGAATGACACTTCTCATGGTGTAAATTCAGATATGCGAACAAGCTAAACAGGTAACCATCCTCGCTTTGTTCCATTGAGTACCACGTAATTTACAACTTTTAATTTTCACTTCTAAAGCCACTTCTGAGTAACTATATCAATTATGTCACCCCCTATTACTCAATAATAGACCACTATATATTTTTTTGTAAGTATAAATACGACTATACAGTCTATGAAGATGATTTCGTCGATAAAGAAAATTTTCTTCGCTGAATCTGTCATTTATTTTCTTCATCCCCGCATATATATTGACAAGGTATTTGTTGCGCTAACAAACTAAAGTTAGAAAGAATTTCAATTTTGATTGTATTCTTCAAACAAAAATGCCGTAGCATTCATCATACTAGCTAGCGTACAGACATCACAAATAGACACAGATTTGTCTCTGACGAGTGGTTCGTTTATATTTGTGTATTTATTCTTTATGAAGATTACGTTATTTCATAAGTGTACAAAAGACGCCAGCACATGTGAAATCGAATAATTAAAAATTTCGTCACAATGATTAAAAGGTTGATGCATGTTTAACGCAAATACTAATAATTCGACAATCATTCGACGACGACGAATAACTTTTTATTTTGTGGAGTGCCACAAAATCCGGCTTCACATACTGTTAGACTGGAATAAAATTGTGCGAAGACGCTCATCATTTGCCACCAAATGACGAAGGTGAGAATAAAATCCATGGAGTCGGGCGAAGACCACCACCACATTATCCATCTTCGCATGTTGACTAAAACAAACATCACCTAAAAAGGGTAAAGTGATGTAAGCAAAACGGATTCAGACACACACACAAAAGACTACCTACTACCTTAAATCAACATTAATTTTGCGGAAATACCTATTCTATAGTGATAAAAACTGTTAATTTTTATGATCTCAGGGACGATCCGATCCCATAAGGTGTGAAGTATATTTATTTTTTGATACAGCTTGATTACACACCATATTTTTTGGTACAGGTATGGAATTTTCAGCATGTGATATCGGTAGCCCAAATTTTGCAGGCCGACCATAGATATCAGGTGTGCGTCGGTAGGGGATTGAACCCTGGACCTTGTGCATGGTCGGCGAATCACACTGCGCCTCAACTACTTACTGTTGAATAATTATTCAGGAATTCGCTCGCTATCAGATTCCATGTTATGCTTGAAATGATTTCTCTCACCACAGGTTAACGCGTGTTAGCAGTCAGCATAGACGACTCTGACTAAAACTGAGTAATATATTTCGAATAAATTCACCTTTTTCACATATATGTATATCTGGAAATGTATGCTTGTGACAGCAGCAGCCTATCTTTCTACCTATTTGATGGACTTTCTTCACAGTTTAGTTACGCAGTGTGTGTGTGCGTGGGTGTGTGATCTCTTGTTATTTATCTTGTCTGACAAGTATTCACCAACAGGATTTCCATAACAATTCGTTTACACCACCTGATTGATCTATTGCAGGCGGCTCTGACTACTGGTGGTATCTGCTTGAAATAATCATGCCTAAGTTGTTGTTGTGGCTGTTGTGTTCATAACGAGAATTCACCCAAGCTATTCATTTAAAATTTACAGGTCAAATGTGTCTTTATCTTTCTTTCCCTATGGTTGAGAAATTATCACATGTATTTTCTATAGTTTGGTTTGTACGAGTTGATCACGGATTGATATCAGTTAGAGAACCATTGAAAACCCACCAGGGAGTACTGGACAGCTGTTTCATCCCAGTTTTTTTCGGGAATCATCGGCAGTACGCACCCACCACCAGGATTTCGAACTCAGGACCTTCCGGTTACAAGCCACTGGGACCCGATTCAATGGCCAGTGCATGAATTCTAACTTCTACCAATTCGTGATGTTAGCGCGACCCCAACCATTGTCGTCGATGGGACATCCATCCTCACACGTGACATCTGGATGGACGTCACTGGTCACGACTTCTCACTAGAACTAATTCCAGGAAACTCCATCCTGTAGCAAGTCACTAGCGAGCATCAGATTAATTTTCTATAGTTTGGTTTGTAAGGGTTAGTTTTGTACTGTCGATGATTCCCAAACTAGGCTGATAAAACAGCTGTCCAGTACTCCCTGTGGCTAGTTTTCAGTGGTTCTCTAACTGATATCACATGTGTATATATTGAAATCATTAATCATCCGTAAAAGAACCATTTTGGTTGAATGGTTAGTTTCTGAAGGAGGCTTCTCCGTCACAATGCAATACAGTTTCATCACATGGAATTGATTGTCA